TTGACGCCTCCCCACCCCCCCCCCCCCCCCCCGGCCCAAGCCGAGTCAGCAATGGCAGCCACAGCCTCGCAGGAGCCCTTCCTCTCGGCAGGCTCATTGTTTTGGACTCACTGGAACCCCCCCCCAGCCTCTCCAAGTCCCTCCTACGTCAGAAGCGGAGGGACAGGTCAGAAGCTTCTACCCAGCAAGCAGCACACCAGCTCCCCTCACACGCACACAGATCCCTCGCGCTGGTGTGATTTACACCACATCAGCACATCTTGCTAACACTGAGGAGGGAGCTGGAAGGACTGTTTTCTGGCTGGCCAGAAACAACAGGGTTTGGGACTAGTTTTGCTTTTCAAAGGGATTCAAGCGCAGAGCACCGCCTTTTCACAAAGATGGGGGTACGTCTCCACTCCCCGTGACCCAGCAGCACCACCTCTCCTCCCAGCTGCCTTCTCTGCTCCCTCTCACTCACCTGGTTACCCCCATCCTCCCACAAGCGCATTCTTTGCAAGAGCTGGCTTGCTTGGGGACGGAGTCTTTGCAGAGATAAATAGACCTTAGTGCAGGCAAAGGACATCCGCCAAATCCAAGAGACCATGAAGGACCATACAGGCCTTTTTATAAGCCCATTTTTAGCTGCAAAGGGGCCAATTAGCAACATTAGGAAAGAGCTCTGACCCTGCCAGTGCAACCAAGAACTTCAGTACCCATCCTTACGCAGCTCTTTGCAAGTTCTTTTCATGTTTGAGGAGGGGTTGCAAAAAGAAATCCACATGTATGTGCACAGCCTCCAAGAGAAGAGATTAAAGCCAGGCTTTCCGGGTCCTCATCTAAAAAACCTGAGTCTCGTTGTGATGCACATACACAAAGGCAGGAGCATTTCCAGCCCGCGTGCACTCCCATGTTTTCTCAAGCAACCACTGCTCCACCTACGCTCTCCAACACCACAGGATATTGATAGATGCCATCTCAAACTCAGAAGCAAGCTGGGTGCAGCAGGTTTTACAGGTATACAAGCAAGCAGTGCTGGGATTCCTCCCATTCCCTCTCACTACCCAATCCTCCCCTACCAGAAGAAACTTAAAGACCCCAAAACAAAACAGAATACTAACACCCAGCTAAGAGCAAGCACTGTGCTTGCTATAGAAAAGCAAGGGTAAAATCCACTGCGCACAGAGCTGCCCAGGTTCCCCCGGGTATTGGCACGGTCCAGCTGCAAGCAAACTCCTCTGGGGTCAGCAGAAGAACCCGCTGGCTTCTTATATACTGTCCATCAGGTCATCCAAATACAGCAGAACTACCGAGTGGCTGTTAGCTTGTCCTACACATACTTGACAGTCCCTAATTCAAAGGAAGCTTCCAAACGGGCACGTTTAGGGCAAGCCTTCAGCGGCATTTCTTAAGTGCCACAAGAGGGAAGGAAGCCCAGCCAGGTGGGGAGGTAAGCATGGGGGACAAGACAGATTAATCACAAGTAGCTAGGGGAACTCAGTCAGCTTCAATGTGGCAATCAAGGAAGATACATGGAGTGCAGGGAGACAGATGGTTGTGCGCATTTATTTCTCTTTGATAAAAATGGTATGCAAATTACACAGCCATGGAGGCTCTTGGGAAAATATCACCCTGCTGGTCCTCGGGGAGCTTCTTGGAGAGTCATAACATTCAAACACACCAAAATGGAGGGGGGGGGGGGCATGGAGGATGGATCTAAACTGGGAAGAACATGAACTTCAACATTTTCCAGTGAAGCGAAAAGATCGTTAACTTATTTTTCAACTTCCTTTTTTGTTTTTACACGTTCAGGAACGAACCTACGGAGCACAAGAGTCAACAAACCCCTGCCACTACTGCGCCAGAACTAAATTGCTTGGGCAGAAACGCACCTTTTGAACACGTTCTTCTGCACGGCACTTTCAACTCAAGTTCAAGAACAGCAAGCCTGATCCCTGAAGGCATCTAGGCTCCTTTACACCATCCCAAGAGCGTAAAGAGGCCATACTTCAAATGTAGTTTTCATGCACATCAACCCTCTACCAGGAGATAAGAGGCACCTGCGTGCAAGGGACACAGGCTCAGTTCATCCAATGGAACATTAAGACAAATGACATCAGAAATTTCCAGGTCATTTCAATTTTTCTTTTGATCCATTCCCAATAAGATGCTGGGAGAAATAACCAAAACCCAAACTTGGCTCAAGTTTTAAATATTTGCCTGAAAGGAGGGCTAGGGGAGGGAATCATGTACAGTTAAAATCAAGCTACTCAAAACACAATCATTCAGGTAAGTAACTAGAAGTATCGCCTCTACCATCTAGAGAGAGAGAGAAGAGTGTCTGAGACAGAGGGCATATTTAGGAAAAAATACACATCTGAAGTCTCTGTGGCCACGATGAGAACTGGAATCCACATACAAGCCAGTTAAAGAGCATTTCAACATGAAATCTTAACTTAGTAGGAAGGTCAGGGGTTAAGCTGTATCTTTTTGTTTTAAATACATGGACAGCTGTCAGATATGAAAATGATGGTGGGCTTTCCTGAAAGATCCCCCTGTGCATGTGTATGGATGCATGTGCTGATGTCTGTGGGGCAGCATGACAAGAGTTTAGGAAGGCTGGGAGCCCAGCAGTCTCTCAATAGCTGCATTGATGTCTCCACCAGTGGCAATAAGTGCCTGGAGGTTGGCCTCACGATTAATGAAGCCCATGGCGTTCAGCTGCTCCAGCTGCTGTTGGAATCGCACTTCAGGACTCTGCGCCTACAGAGGGAAAGGACAAAGACCTTAGAGTCAGACAGCAGAGATCAACATCCAATATGGGCAGGGCCAGCAACGACGGCTAAGCAGGGACCCTGAGCTCAGCTTTAGGCGTACTGAAATACTCTAGGCTCGTTTAGTGATGTTACCCACCTCCCCACATTGCCACGGGCTTTGGCACAGCAGCCACACTGCACGCAGTTAGTCCAAGTTCTGTACCTACGGTGACAGAAGCGCTGGAAGGAGGATCCCTGGCACTCTTAGCTTCAAACCTGTGCAAAGGGTTACTACACCCCAAAGAACTAGCCAGCTTGAGACGCCAAACTTAGCATAAAGCACCATAGCCAAGAGAAACCTGTTGGGGACCACATTCCTAGGAGTGGGGTGGGATCAGGACAACCTCTAGCTCACCCTGGAGATGTCCCTCCCCAGAAGCGTATCAGCATGCAGCTGGGCATTACATACTTGAGAGCTTCCTCCGGCCAGCAGCTGGATCATCTGCTGCATGAGCTGCTGTTGGGGGTTACCACCCCCAGCTGGAGAGGCACTGGCCGGCGTCGAAGCGGAGGGAACGGGGTTCTCCGGGATTGTGCTTCCTCCTGTGGAGGACGGGGGCATTCGAGGCATGCCGAAGGAGCCGAGGCTGCAGAGGAAGGCAGGGTGTGCTCAGAGGCAAGCTGGCACTTCTAGGTGTCCCCCGAGAGCTGGGCAGCACAGTAACCAGCAGGCTCTGCCAGGCTGGCCCTCACTGAGGCCCACACTACAGGACAGCTTTGTAAATTAAACTGGCTGCATTTGTATCCTGGTCACACATGGTGCTGGGAGTAAGCAATCCTAACAGAGGCGCAGGCCTGAAAGGAACTGCAGAGACCGAACGTGACCCACGCTGCCAGAGAGCAGAAGGCCTGAGGGCTGCCGGCAGACCAGTCTGCCCCAACGTACCCACCCAACCTTGTGGCTGTGCATCTCATACTGTTCTCCAGAGATAATATTCTTGAGTTCAGCCAATACTGAATACAGCAAACAAAAGATGGGGGAGGGATCAAGTGGTTTCCAAACCTTTTCTCCAAAAAGAAAGGGTCAAGGACTTCCCGCGTGAAGTACAAACAGAAAGTGCTAATTAGCTGGAGCTCACAGAGGCCTGCAGGCACACACACACACGCAGAAGTCCCCATGACAGGGTGCCCTAAGCAGATCTCCTCGATGAATCAACAGCTAGTCTGCCTGCTGGTATCAAGCATGTCAGCTCTGCCTGCAGAAACCCACTGTAAAGCACTTATTACCTTGGCACTAGTCCTGGGGCCTCCGTTTGCAGCGTCTGGAGTCCCTGCTGGATCTGGAGGAGCGCCTGCATGGCACGGGGGTTGGTGAGAATGGAGAGGGAGTCTGGGTTCTGCATCTGGGAACAAAGGCAAAAAGACACAGCGGTACCAAACAGCGAGAGCTTCTGCAGCCAGAGATCCATCAGCTCTAAATGTGAACAACAATCAGCACAGAGCTGCGCTTCTCGCCCTGCAGCCAAAGCAAACCTACAAGTCTGGTTCCTCCTTCAAGTCTCCAGACTGCAGGGCTCATCTACAGAGATACTCAAGAGTTTAGATCACATTTCCTAAATGAACTAGGTGAATCAGATTAGAACTGGGGGCACATGCCTTTGGAATTAAAGTGATTTGATTTACCTGAGTGAACCAGCTGCTCTAGCACAATTAGCTGTTTTAATTTCTGTAAACTCATTACAGTGAGAGACTGTCCACACAGGGGTTTCATGTAGCTTAACTAGTCTAATTTGAAGTCTACCTTTAGGTAATTTAGATTACTTAATGTAGATTGCCTTGTCTAAACAAGCTCTTCCTTTCTCTCTCCCCTGTGCAAACCCCTTTCTTTCACAGCCCAAACCACCCAAGCCCACATGCTTCCTAGTCCACTTGACTAAGCAGCCCAGATACTCCCTTTCCTACAGAGGATGGAAAAGCTCTGGAGCCCGGGGGCTGAGAGCAGCACAGGGCCAGACAGGGGCCTTTACCTGCTGCAGGAAGACAGGGAGCTGAAGGCGGAGCTGTTCTTGAAGCTGTGGATTCCCAGCAAAGAGGGGGACATTTACCATGATCTAGCAAGAGACAGCACACGTAGGTAGGGTCAGAGGGTTGCTGCCACTGGCCGTTAAGCCCTACGTAACTAAGCCATGAAGAACAAGTCAGTCATGCCCCTGACTCCCTCCCTGGGCTTTCAACATGTTCCCCTGCTAATGGGGACTGAAACAGGACAGCTCAATTCCTGGCAGCAGTGTTGAACAGGGGCCACTTGGCCACGGGCAAAGAGAAGGGCCATTCCCATGTCCCTTTGAAAGCCACCTTTTTTGGTAGGGGTTCTGCTAAGACACAGGGTTCAGTACTGTGACTGCCTTCAAGCTATTGAGAAATACAACAAACCCGTCTATATTCACTCAGCTCTCCGGTTTCTGCAAGAGGAACCACTCCAACTATAGAAGCAGACTGGTCTCACAAGCATTGTGCTCATGGCCTGTCTGACAATAGAAGACAACTGCAGCACTTTTACCTGTGCTGCAAAGTCCGGGTTCTGGGCAAGAGTTTGCATCATGCTCCGCATGTAAGGGGCAGAAATCATGTTCTGCATCAGCTGAGGGTTTTCGGAAATCTGCTGCAGGAGTCCTTGCATCTCTGGGCTGTTAAACATGCCTGCAAGGGGAAAGGGAAGAGAAGACAAAGGAAAGCCCCTTACAAGCCTGAGCACTGCTGCAATGCCTGAAATACAACATGACATGTAACAGCAATGCCTTTACTTCATCCCCTGGCCAACAGTGAATATCGCTGTGGACAGCCATGGTAGTGCTTTGCTTGCCACTCTCCCATGCTCTCGAGGGCTGCAGGGACATCAGAGTTCCCAAAGTAACCCTCTGACAGGCGCACAAGAAATAACCCATTTGTGCTTGCAACTGGGCTAGAATCATTCATCTGGAGAGCAGCCCCGGACAGGCACTCAAATGGCAGAGGGAACCACCCTCCAAGGAAGCCTGGGTGACCTGTTCAGTCAATAGCACCCTCTGGTTCCTCTCTTGCTTACGTACCAGCCCCAATGCTAGCAGCATTCAGCCCAAAGGGGTTGGATACAGTCGGTGTGCTTTGGGTGGTTGCCGAGCCAGTGCTCCCTTCACTGCTGGGCGCCTGGCTCTGGGAAGCAGGGGGCGTGGGGCTCCAGGGGTTCGGTAACGGCTCCCTGTTCTCCGTCCGCAAAGGCTGAGAGCTTGAGCTATCAGAATTCCCCGTCAAGGAAGAGAAAGGATTGTTGCCAAACTAGGGAAAAAGAAAAAAGAAATAGCCGTAATCATTTAGCCCCAGCAGAGAATGTCAGACTAACCCCACCACTGTACGAGCTAGGGAACAGCTGATCGTATTCATCTAGGTCCAGAATTTGCTAAACACATGCCAATAATTTGCTTCCTGAGGAATCTGTAATCCACAACACACCTCACTTAGAGAAAGACCAGGCTCAAGAAGTGGCCACAGCCCTAGATTTGGCTCCCAAATGCAGGGCTTCAAAACATCCATGTAAAATCAGCACCCGGACATACCAGTAAGTAATGCTAGACTGGAGTATGTCTGCACAGCCTTTTGCAGACAGACCTGCGCTCACTCCTCCTGTGTTTCAAGCCAGCTGGATCTCAGCCAGCTCCAATCCAAAGGCGTCAGGCTTGAGCTAATACAGTAAGCTGGGCTGACAGCAGAGGGCCGTGCTAACGAAGCTATGGGGCCTTCACATTGGCGATGGCTGGCATCCAGCCTGCTCGGAGACCAAAGGAGCGAGGGCAGGTCTCTGCTCAGATACACCAAACCGTGTAATAAAAGCAGATGGCAGGCACTGCACAATGTTCTCCTGCTAGGGGCTGCATTCATCATCTAGAGCAGGAGGGGATGAACAGCCATGCTTTGGGAAGGCTGCCCCGTTAGCACAGGGGTCAGGGAAAGATCCCTTTCCCATGCTTAGCCCACTACACCCCACTTACAGGAATGCAGCCAATACCTGCTCCCTGGCTGCACTAAACATGGGCTCCTGGATGTCCGTGTACATCCGGCGCAGGGCGTTGTATCCTCCTGGAATGCTCTCGAGGTTACTCAAAGCACGGTCCTGGTTCCGCATCATCTCCTGCATCATGGCAGGGTTACGGGCCAATTCCATTGTCTGGGAGAAGGAGGAAAACGTGGAAAGCTCAGGTCCATGTGCACCGTGGAAGACCGGAGTGGATCAAGAGGCTGGTTAGCAGCCCAGCTGTATTCTGATCTACCAGCCAAGCACTGAAAGAGTTAAATCTCAGCTCCCAGAAGAAAGAGTATAATTAAACCCGTTTCACAGCCAGAGAGCAGAGAGATCATTTATCCAAGCAAAGAGAGCCCAGGGATCCTGGCTCCTCCCATCTTTGCTCAGCTCTCTTCCTTCTCAACCTCAATTCAGCTGGATGAGATTGTTTTGTTTCTAAGCAGTATCAGGACATCCAAACATTTAACACCCATATGTTCCCACTCAAAGTAGATGGACTGCATTCAAAAACCGAGAAGGTGGAAGACATTGGATCCTTCCCATTTCCAGAAAACCAAGAAATTCACCCTCTCCAGACTTCTGATGGGTCTCCCCTGCACAAGGAACATACAGATCTCATTTGATGAGCTGCTTAAGTACGCATCATTCACAATGTAGTCCTGCAGCTCTGGAATTTCATGTATAGCCGACACAGTTGAAAGATAACCGAGAAGCAGATGGAAACTAGGCTCATTCAGCAACAACCCAGAAAGACCTCCTGACAAGTCTTCCTGGGGAAACAGCAGAGTCCTGTCAAGGGCTATTTAACACTCAGGCTCTCACTCATCCCTTATGCTTCCCTTCCAATGAACCTTCGGTCTTCCAGATAGCCAGTCCTCTAGGGCATGGGTCCTCTCTGTTCTGGGATTGTACAGAAAATTGAGACCTCTAGGATCCCGGCTTACGGCTAGTGCTCTCCGCTGATACAGGTAGTAAAATATTGACTGTACAGCTCTGTAGTCTATACTTAATCTATCAAGAGAAATAGAGAGAAACAAAAAGCTTTTGCAGTAGCTTCACTTCTCCGTGACTGCTTTTACTCCCATTCCTGAATCAGAACACAGTAGCCTTGTATGCAGCAGGCCAGGATGATCCCAGCATCCTTTTTTGCCCAACACATGATGGATTCAATAGCCCTGAAAGGGAGATAAGAGTTGCAAGTATGTGGGTTGAGTAATCATTATTCACATAACTCAGGACCACCATCTGTTTGTGGGGAGCTTACAGCAGGAAGGAATAGATCTCTAAAATCACTGATCTGGCATTCACACACTCCCTTTGGAGAGCAGACACTGAAGCTAGTCCACAAAGATGCTCTTGAATGTGCTTTAAACAGGCCCTGGCGTGCTGACTCACCTGCCTCATGAGCTCCGGGTTATTCAGCATGTGGCTTATCTCCGGATTTCGCTCCATGAGCTGCTGCATCTGGGGATTGGCCATGATCATCTGTCTCATGAGGTCAGGGTTAGACATCATGTTCTGCACCAAGGGATTCTCCATGATCTGAGAAAGCATCTCTGGGTTGGACATCAGCTGCCGCTGCATCTGCTGCTGGAGCTCCATGAAGTTGGCAGAGCCCATCCCAAGGTTGCCCAGCCCAGTGATGCCGCCAAAGCCAGCTGGAGAGGGAACAACACATGGGGAGAGAGGCGTGAGTCAGTAACTGTCGGCAGCTGCAAAAAGAGGACAAGCACATCAGCTGAACTGCACCCACGCTAATCGAGGGGTATCTTATATTCCTACGGCAGCCAGCTCTGAGGGAGGACACCCCCCGCACATGCTTCCCTAAAGGCTTTGGCATTATCCTGAGCAGGGAAACCGAGGTATGCCGGTGGAAGCAACTCATGCAAAGCCTACAGCAAGCAGAGACAACTACAGGAGTCAAGAACCCCAACTCCTTGGCCTAATCCTAGGAAATTCTTCTTTCGTGTCACACCTTCTCACAGCCATCACTTACACAGGATGGATGTAGCACTGTTAGGGCCTCCGTCTCCAGGACCTCCCATGGTCCCTGACCCACTGCTCCGTCTGCTGCCGCTCCCTGCGTCAGAAACGGCGCTGCTGGATGTGGAAGGCTGAGATGGGGCAGCAGGAGAAGAAGGGGTTGCAGTGGGGGCAGAAGCAGCATTGGGGGCAGAAGCAGCAGATGTTGAATCTTGGACCCTGCAAAGAAACAAAAGACGACATTAAACTCCTGAGATTCAGGAACGGTGAGCAGACTCCTCTGTGGGGGACACAGGATGGTGCACCCCACACTGACCGAGCCTCCTTCGTGTCTGTTGTCCCCGCAGCAGCCAGCTCTGGCTGCTTCCATTCCTGCCTGCATGGATGCACAGCTGTGCTCCCAGATGCCTTCCATCTGCTGGAATCTGCCTCCCATCCTGATGCATAACAGCCCCTGACATTCTATCTTGGCCCACACAAAGTGGCTTGACTGGTCTTACCCCAAGCTGTATCTAGCTTTTCCTTGAATCACACTGAACTATTTACCTCAGCTATATCCTTGAGCAATGAGTTTGCTCCAAACAGGAAAATCCTCCTGCTGCTCCCACAGAAACCACAGGAGGTTACAGCAGGGCTAGTGCATGGGGTAAACAAGAATCTGCTTTTCTGCAAATCCTCCCATGCACTGAATATTCCTATCAGTGCTCCTGGGGGCAAAAATAAGTACCAGCATTACTCTACATAAAGGGAAACTGAGGCACAAGGCAGCTAGCATCTGTCCCATGAAGCTACAGAACGTTTCTGGCCAGCTTGGCTATGAATTCACATCTCTGCCACTGGTTGTACCTTGCATGCAAGGCTTCCCGCCCAACACAAGTTGACTAGAGCTTCTTTTAATACACACATGCAGATACTGTGCCATAAGCCACAGCGCAGCAGATGCTGGACATCAGCTTTATTGAGTAAACCAACCCCAGCTAGTACCTTGTAATCACAGCTCCTCCTCAGGATTTTTATAGGAATTTGAAAGAGAACATTTAAAGATTCTCTGAAGCATCTACAGTCATGACAGTGAGTCCTGGACTAGTGCTGAAAAGCTTTCACATGAAATTAGACCACAAAATTCACTGTACTTGCCTCAAATAGTGCTATTATGCCACTGACAAGTAAACAAGAACAATGATATCTTGATTTTTTTTTTCCCCCCAAACCAAGAATTATTCCTTTCTCTAACTCCCTTTCCTTTTTCACTCTTATTCTAGGACTTTAAAAATCAAACCTGAAGGTCCCTGTCCGCTTTCCAGACTCACCTGACTGCTGCTGAAAACCAGCGGCCACTGAGAGCGAGGCAGAGAGTGGGGAAACAAAGCAAATAGGAAGCTGAACAAAAAAGGAAGAAGGAAGCTGGAGAGAGGTCACTTGGTTTCTCTCAGCACAGGAAGAGGCTGTAATTCTTCAGTAAGCACTTATCTATGACTATTAGCAGGGGAAAAAAAAAAGAGCAACCCAGGACAGCTCTCTCGTTTACCCTTTGAAATGGTTCATAAGTACTGCAGTTTGCTGTGGAGACAGTGGTAAACAGCATCAGACCATCAGGCTACCTGGAGATGCAGAACCCGGAGAGAGGCCTCCTGCAGAAGCTGCCAATACCCATGCTCGTCTTTGTAAAAAAGAGGCAGGGCAGGGGGGAAGCACTAATCTTGACTAAGCCAGTAAGGCAGCTCTCCCAGGGGACAGCAGAACTGCACAAAGAGACGCAGTCCTGTTAGTTCACCAGGAGCCCAACCAGACTGCAGCAAGGAGCCCAAGAAATGGTTGCGAAGGGGGTTTTGAGATCAACAAGACATGGCTGCGCCTGAAGTACAGCAACTGTCCCCAAGAGCCTTCTGTGCCCACCATTCTGTTGGATAGCACTGGGAAAAGCCTAACCCTGCAGGACCTTGCAGTCAATCCTGCATCCCCTTCTCAGGCCGAGCTGCACAGCGCAGATGGACACAAGTGAGCCATGTCCAAACTGGGAGCTACCATGGGGTGTGCCCACAGCACTTGAGCTAACCACCACACTGCCACATGCACGTGGGCATACGGCCCGAGCCACCGAGGTGGAGCACCCACCTGTCTGCACCTGCCCTATAGGGCATGCCTATAGGTACCACACAGGAACACTGTTCTGCCCTACAGACAGTGCTCTGCACGTGTGGCAGCTGAGAGACCGTGAGCACAGGCTTAGAGCAGAGTATATGATAGGAAGCGAAAGAAAAACTGGGTATTAGTTTCAACTTCAACGCAAATTCATTGGGAAAGTAATTTCTGTTAACGGCAACTTATTTTTGTTAGAACTAGTATCAAGTTCCAAGGGGTTCTTTCAAGATTACTAAATTATAAAGGCTCAAAATACGCAAAGCTACATACACACGTTGTGTTAAAGAAGAGTCAGCCCCCTCAGGTACTTGCCACAAACTTACACAGCTGTGTAACCTCGGGAAAAGACAGGCCGAGTGATAAACCCCAGAGCTGCGTGGCAAAGCCATGGCAGGGAGAGTGCCTGGGAGAGTCCTCCTGCCAGATCACCGCTGCCAGACTCACACACGCCCCAAAGCCAGCACTCAGGCCTCACACAAGTACTCCGCTTCAGTCATTGATAGGGCAGAAATGCTCCGCCATCGTTTAGTCGCATCATCCTTTTACCCTCAGCCCCCCAAGACGAAACAGTTTCTTACTTCTGCGGAGTCTTAATGACCAAGTGTACAGTCAGCCCATCTTTGATCCCATGTTGATTCAACGTGTCTCCATCCTTCAGGATCTTCCCAGCAAAGATCAGAACCAGCTGATCCTGTTTGGCTTTAAACCGCCTGGAAATCTCTTCTTTGAACTGAAAAACAAACAAAGCATTTTTCAGGCAAAGGACCGAGACCAGAAATTTAAAGCTCATACTCCAGATATCATATCCACTATGCAAACAGCATAAGGAACTGACAGTCCTTCAGTACCTCACCCAAAAGGAGCCATGCAGGTACCAATTCAGTCACCAGTTGCTGAGGATGTCTGAGGCATTAAGAAAAAAAAAAACAAACAAAGACAAGCTCTACACTTACATAAAGTGGAGTAAATTTCAGAAAGAATAGAGCAATTACCTCAAGAAGAGCTGAAGGCTTCCAAAGCAAGATCAAGTGTGTCTCTTAGGTCTAATCCAAATATACCATTTATCCTCTGAATGACTGAACTGTTTTTGTCTCTGCTCATTTGATTTTTTTCCTAAGGAAAGCCCAACTCTGTTTTAATACAGGACAGAGCTCTATGGAAAAGGGAACAATCCTTTATCAGCCAATGGAAATAAACTAGGTCTTCTCCAATTCCTATTTCTGCAACTGAATTCCCTATGAGCATGCCACGCCACATAACATGGACACCTCTTCTTTACTGTGTGATGGGGTGGGATTAACACCTGCCAATAATGTTGTCATTGCTAGCCCAGCTGGGGCATTCCCAAGTTGATCTGCGAGGAAAAAAAGCCTTGCCATTCGGAAGCCACAATCTCCAGGAAATTCAGAGGGAAAGGCCAGGACGGAAAGAGAAGCACACACCTGTCCCAGAGGAACTCGCAGCCTTCGCAGCAGAACCCTCAAAAACAACGCCCGGGAGAGCGCAGCCCTGAGCCCCAGGTCACCCTGGTCGCAAAGCTTCATGCTCTCCTCTGCACAAAGCCATCACTTAACATCCCGCTTATACTGACGGGCTCTCAGGAGCCGACCAGGAAGGAGCAGGAGGGCCACATGTCCTACAGCCCCTGCCTACCCCACGACTCTGCTCCCCAGAGGCCTCCACCAGGTCCTTCACACCGCAACCTCGTGCCCTACACCCCAGATCAAAGCGCGCAGCAAGCCAAGAAGCCGAGAGCCGTGCCGATGACGCCTTGCCCCAGTGGGCATAACCACTTCAACAGTGCTTGAGCCAGTCCTTGCAAATTCCAGCCCCCTCCCGCTTGCCCCACGCCACTGTGCCCTGTGAAGCTCCCTTACAGGAGCAGACTCCGCCAGCCCACACGTGGGCTGATGGTCCCTTTCCTCCGCTCCATCCAACCTTCACCCCGGACGACTTGCCCAGCCTCCTCCTCTCACCCGAGGGATCTGCCTCCCAGGGTCTAGACCCACCCCGCAACACCCACTGCCTCCCCACAGGCAGCCCCACATGCACTCACCCGGCTCTGCCCCCAAAGCCGCTCCTCCCCATCACAGCACCCTTCCCGTACCAACCGCCCAAGGAACACCTTCCCTCCCACTCCCCGCGCAGCCCAGCCCACGGGCCGGGCCCCCAGACCCCCACCCAAATCCTTCACACCTCTCTCCCCACCGCCACCATCCACCCCAAAGCTCCCTTCCCCACCACCGCTCCCCCACAAAGCCACTCTACAAGACCCTCGCACACAGCCCTCCCACATCCCCACCAGCACCCTGTTTTCGACACCCACAAACCCT